AATTCAACTGTAAATATTTTTTGCAATTAAGAGATAATGCAATGTAAACTTTTCTAGTCTGAATACAAAATGTGAAAGGAAAGAACATTACAATGCTGGAGGGAAAGATTTAACAATGTGCTGCGCTAAAAGTCGACGCTACTTTCAGGATTTGCAACGAAAACTGTCGCACCGATTTTTTTTTTTAATTCTGAACGAAAGAGTGTATTTAAAACCCTCTGGATATTTAAGAATTTAGGCTACTTAGGTAAAACATATAATGAATATCAATGTATATTAGTCAAATAGGAAGACTTAAACCGCTTAGCGGTCCACAGAATGAAAAGGTATAATAAAAGGGACCTCTTATTCCGGGGCTCATTCCTTGTGCTCATTGTGTTTCAGGGAACGACTTGGCGTAATTGGACGGGTTTAAAGTAGCGGTGGCAGAACTTGTCAAGATGTCACCCTAAGTTGTTTACATTCATTTTTACATATGTTCTTAATTCAGCCTTACTTATACCCAGTTTTACTTTAAACAACAGGTGACATCTTGAAGAACCAATCACCGGCCCATTGGAGAATTTTAAAATGGGACTTAAAAGCTTAGTTAAAAAAATCGATGGAAATTTTAAAGGTCAAGTAAATATAATTATCCAGTAGTTTTTGAATTTTGAAGTTTACAAGAATTTTTTACGGCAATATTTTTATCATAGCAATTTTCTTCTTTTTTCATAAATATTTGGGAAATGCATGAATTGGAGTCTTCTTTTAGCCATTTTAAACTCTGTATATTGAAAACAAGAGGAGTGTGCTTATTCTACATGTACATGTATCATTTTTCGTAAGCAATTTTTTAAGTCATTGATGAGATCTGTTTAAATTCTCTTAAAAATCGCTTTGCCCGCATCTTTAAGAACGTGTAGCACCTTATTAAAGATTTAAAGTTTTTAATTTTGAAATTGATTTCATTCCCAGATAAAAACTGTTTTTGTTTTAAATATTTCTGATGCGCCAATGATTTATAGGTTGATGAATTTTGGTGTTAAAGGAACATGAAAGAGCTTTTTAAGGACTTGGCTGCTAGTCATGCGCGGATCTAGAGGGGAGTCGGGGGGTCAGGACCCCCCCCCCCCCCCCCCCCCCGATATTTGCAGAGTTATAAAAAAGTATATTTTGCTTGTCAAGACATTTTCTTGATTTAATACGTTTGGGATGGGATTTAGGTTTTGTTCGTTTGTGTCTTTGTTTGTTTTTGTTTTGTTTGGTTTTTTTTTCTTGTCAAGAAATTTTTGGGTTAGAATTTTTTTTTTTTTTGACTGGGATGGACCTCCTCTGGAAAAAATTCCAGGATCCGCGCCTGCTAGTTTCTTATTAAGTGCTTTTAATTACAGAAAGGTCTAGGTATAGAAATGGGGGGGGGGGATAAGTCCCAATAGAACGAAATATATTTGTTTTTAAATTAAAAGCGAATGCATATACCGTTTTTAAATTTCACAAAATGACTTTTCCTTCAAAGGTACAGATAACAGAAAGAAGGTTTGATTGTTATCCTGCTTCTAGGGAATCTAGAAATTCCTTCATAAAAATGAAAACCGTTCTCCCTAAAAAAAATCCCACATTATTTATTTTTTTTAATATACTTAATGTAGTTGAAACAGGGTTGGAAATGGAGGAGGGGGATGGTTCAATCCTCTCTCTTTTACGCATTGTTTATATTGATCATAGACAATAGCAAATACATATAGCACTGAAAAATATGTCTTCTACTGGACATTTGATAAAATCTCGATAAACTTACAATAGGAACTATCCAGGATCCGCCCCTCTGTAGTGAATATTTGCAAGTAAAATGTAATAATAATATGATAAAGTATATGCACGATATTGGTACATAATTTTCGACGATATTTGTGTCAGACCGGCACGCGGTGCAAAGACAACAAGTTAATTTGTTACAGGGGGCTCCAGTGATTTGGCACCACAACAGCGTGTCATTAATGATGACACATATAATGGCATATCTTCTCCCTGTATAGCGCTGATAAATGCATACGTCATCATTTCCACACGATAGAAATGTATCTTATGATATGTTAATAAATTACAGAATGTACAAAATTCTTGTCCTGCCGATGTCAAAGGTATTTCTGTAGAAAACATCTGTATTGTTGTGGGATATTGTAAGAGATCATTTATACACGTTGTTAAGTGTAGTTTCTTGTACATAATGACATTTCATCTCTTGATATCTATTATCGCTGTTATTTACTTCATAAAAACTAGTCGAATTTATTATCCAAAAACTAGAATATCTTTCTCGGTTGGCATAAACTAAACTCCTGAAAATGAAGGGCTGGCTGAAAAAAAAGTAATATTGCTATCATTAGTGTTTTAGCTGATTCTATGATGTTCAGAGCACAAGTATTGAAATTATATTTATTTTAGAAACTGTTCGTATATGTATATATATATATATATATATATATATATATATATATATATATATATATATATATATATATATATATATAGCTTATCCCTATTTTCTCTTCAAGGTTCGACACATAGACGTCATTATTCATATACTTATTCAAGCTGATAATTTGAAATTGTATTGAATATTTTCTGGATTCATTCCATTTAGTCAATTACACGATTTCATTTATTAACTGTTAAAGTTTTATTTAACTGTTAAAATTCACGGTATTTTTTCTTCATTTATTTACTTATGATTTCGTAGGTATGTCTCATTCCGTTTGTTAAGTTGTGTGTTGTTTTTGTTGGTTAGTTTGCATATTTAACGCTCATTTCAATTTAACATTTTATAACACATTTTGATGTTTCTGCTCTTACAAATATAGGATTACATTTTATGAAAAATCTGTCTCTAAGACTGCAGTGTGGTATTGATTTTTTTTTTCTGTACAATATATTACAAATAGATTGGCATATTAAAAAGGATAGATGTACCATTTTGTAAATTTCGATTTTACTGAGTGAAGGTAATTGCAAAATTTACAACATAACAATTTTGCATTTTCCTCCATCCATAATTTTTTTTATATTTTAAATTGTGAATGTACTGGTTGGTGGTAAATACAAAATTTACAAAATGATTTGTTGTTATTTTGTACTTACTTCAACCTAGTAAATTCAAAATTTATGACATGAAAGATGTTAAAATTTCTGACTTCAGACAAAATAAATTTATGTAACAGCAACAACGAAAAAGAAGAAAATATAATATGCATGCTCCTACCATTTCACCGCGTGTCAAATATCGATAATTATTTACCACCCAAGTTTCCAAAAACTCTATGGTAAATTGACATGCGTTTTCGAATACATCGTTATTGGTTAAAAAAAAAATAATTATCTAATCCAATGCTTCATGGGTACTGGGGTATAGAGATTGACATAAACCATTACTTTACTCATGTTACACCCTAGAGAACTACATCTGCATGTGTGGCACATCCGGAATGGTGCGTTCATTATTTCGCTCTTGTTCTTTTGTAAATGAGAGATATAGGGTTACTTTATCAACAGTAAGAGTTCAGAAAATATCGGTAGGTTTTCGCACTCCTCGTACATATTGCACATGGTGTGTATTCCGGAATTGTGTATCATTTGTAAACTTGGTTTTTATGGTTCGATTAGCAATTGAGATATACACGAACGACCCCCAAAGAATTGAAGAGTACATACACTGAGTTCGTCTCAGTTCTCAAGACAGGGTTGTTTTTTCTTCCGAACGGAAAGCTTCGCTGTAATTTTGAACGTGCCAGTCGCAATCATTTTTAGTACACATCTATTATACAATTAGTACTTTACAAAACACATTTATTTTTCAGCGTTCGTTTAAGAAAATCGGTTTTAAATTGAACATTTGTTTCAGAAATATATGATTCTACAAATAATTTACTTTTTTACTGAATCTTTTTTGTTTTAGATGAATGTGCACAAATTCTAAACCCAACAACCGTCATTCTGCAAATTCCGCTAACTTAAAAAAATTCCATAATTTAGAGAAATGTACAAGGATATATGCATTCTCTCTACTTTTAAAACTTGTTTATAACCAATATCTTATTGAAAATAAAACTAGGTTATGCTTTCTTTTTGGAATTTTGGAATTTCTATATTAATCTGTTAATCAACCTTGTTTAGTTTGTATATAATGAATTTTATGTAAAATGTTTGAAATCTACAGCCACATATTTATCATTTTGTGGTGTACCTAACACCGTTACTAATATCAGCATTTATACTTAGAAACTTTAATATTATGTAATGAGCAAATTCTAACGGAAGTAAGAAATCTCACACAAAGCCACTCTCAAATAAAACGGGGAGAAAGCCTTTACCAGTAATTTTTTTAATTTCATTTTTCATATTGATGATCCTGCGGGCGAGAAAAATTTCATTTAAGACATTTACAATCCATTACATTGAAAATTTCACTTCTATCTTGCTCAATATATTGACATAAATTTCATATTGAAATCAAACACGGATTTGTGAGGATAAGCTCTTTTGCCAATATTAAACACTGGCTGTTTGTACGCGGATTTTCTCTGTGCACCATTTGCTTTTCACGTCCAAATTAAAGTCCCTAGACCCCCATATTCAACACAGACAACAGGACTATGTTAACAGCGAAGCCTTTAGCTTATTGACAATTTTCGTAATAAAATATCAAGTATTTAATAAATCATTATCCAACCCTGAAAAAAAATCTGAGTCGTTTGCACATTTATTTCCAGATACACAAATATGACTAGCTTCATGATGCACAGGCAAAACGAACTATAGATTGAAATTTTCAATTATGTTAAAAAACAAAACATATAGTCTAATTTTTAAGAAATACTATACGAAAGTTAAAAAAAAAAATACATCTAATTCCAATCATTAAAGCACCATTAACAGACTGCATGACATAATTTTTTGTTTTATTATTAATTTTAGTTATTAAGATTTTCTCGCAATATACTTAAAGAAAATAAATCGAAGTATTTTGACCATCATTTTGAATCTTTATTTCTTGCACAAGGTTGAAATATATAGCACCTTAATGAAAATTATGGCAAAAATTTGATTCTAGATTCTTAGATTACATTTTTTTTCTGATTGTCTCTATTTTACACAGTACTTGTAAATTTTACATATTTGTACACTTTACATAAAAGATTGGCATAATTTCGTAAAACAATACCAACAATGACAAATGAGTATTTTACAACATATGTACAAAATATAAATAATATTACATAAAAAGCACTGGGGAAGTCATGAAATTAAATGCGAACAGGGCATTTTTGAACATACATAATTCACATCTGCAAGCAACTAACATGACATGCTGTAGAAAAGTTCTAATGAATTCGACTTTTAATTGTAATAATATTTTCACTTAACAAGGTGAAAAAATTCCCTTGGGGTAAACATTTATCATCATTTGACAGTTAATCATTTGTAAACATATTAATGAAAATTAGAGATCAATTAACCGATAGACTATTAGAAATTTAACATGCCATAAACTGACAAGTGAAATTATACAAAATATTTTGCTAGAGGATTAACTTTATCATAGATAATAATCTCGCTCCTTCCAGCTGAAATATCGAAAACAAGAATACTTTGACATGTAAGCCCCGATTTGTCGCATCCGAATTCCTACAGACATTGAATTTTTCAGAAAAAGAACATATATCATATCACATTCACATACTTTTTCTTTCTCATTTACATACTGGTACGCTCATAATCTTCGCTTTTTTTCAAAATCATTTCAATTTCAACAGTTCATTTTACCCTATGTTTCTTATCGGAGTATTCCACTTAATAAGTTCACACCTGACTTAAAGGAAGAGGTTTAACACCCGGGTATGTGGAATTAGTTGCTGGTTTTGAAAAACGAGAATTAAAGCTTGTATTGTCACGTCTACAACAGGGTCCATTGAAAAGTCTCTTCCAGGAATCGACCGTTTTCCCAGTCCAGATCCAGAACCCGGATGTGATTCCCACAACTAAACACATAAAGTATTTCAACATAAACACAGAATAGTCAGGCTTTGATTCACTTCCCTCACACGGGCAGTTTTTACTTCTCTCCCATTTTTGTTTGAGAGTCAGTTCGTAGATATAACAACCAATTACAATTGTCGCTGGCACGGTATAAAGAACGGAAAAAACTCCAATTCGAATCATGAGTTTTTCCAATTTGTCTGTGGTTGTCCTTCCTTGCTGTTTGATCACATTTCTAATTCGGAATAATGACACAAAACCTGCCACTAAGAAGGAAGTCCCAATAATCAAATAAACGAACAGAGGTGCTACAACGAACCAGCGCAAGTTATCCAAGTTTTGATTTCCAACGGAACATATTCCGGAAATAGCATCCCCATCCACTGAGGATTTGGCGAGCACTACAATACTTTTCACTGACGGAATGAGCCAGGCGGCAAGATGAAAATACTGGGAATAACTGGCAATGGCCTCCTGTCCCCATTTCAAACCAGCTGACAGAAACCAAGTGAAGGACAAAATAACCCACCAAATGGAGGAAGCCATCCCGAAAAAATACACCAGAAGAAATACGACTGTGCACAAAGCAGGTCCGGTGGTTTCATATCGGATAACATTTTTATTGCACGCTACAGCTTCATGTCCTGCGATCAGTCGAATAATATACCCGACACTCACCATGAAATAGCAGACACTGAGAAAGACTATGGGTCTCTCGGGATACTTAAAACGTTCAGTATCCACCAGAAAAGTTAGTACAGTCATTGAAGTTGAAATGCAGCACAGAATGGACCACAAACCTACCCAGAATGTCGCGAATGTCATTTCGTCAGGAGTAAAATAAGGACTTGTGCAGTTAACAGCACAGTTCTCGAAGCCTCCGGTAGATATTTTGTTGTAAAATGCATTCGTTTCATCAAGATGAGCCATTCTGCATTTGCAGTCACAGTGTCTGTTTAACCCGGGAGGAATGACATAGTTTTGGTCTATGGGATCGTAGGGTCTAGGTATAGGTATATCGGGTCTGTTTGGGTTTTGCTTATTAATTCCTTGGTTTGGTTTCTTCTTTCTTGGGTGGACCGGTTTATTATGATTGTCAGGATGCTCTTTCTTTGGTGGAGAGGCAGTGGATTCCGTCTGATTATGGTCCATGCACAGTTTTCCACTTCCAAAAACAGGTAAATTCTCACATTTCATTCTTTCGGGCCATTCGAATCCGTACTGAGCCATAAGCGGAGCACATCCAGACTTGGCTCTCTCGCAGACGGATCGACATGCTGGTAAGGGATGTTTGTAATCCGGAATACATATCGGAGTATACATGCTGCACAGGAAGAGTTTTAGATCCGGTGAGCAATGGATTTCGACAAGAGGCCAGAACTGGTGGACTTCTAATCCAGCCTCTTCTTGTGTCTCGTGATTAAACTGATTTGGCATGTAGGTCAGATTATATCCAATACCCTTACACATCGGGATCGTGATTTCTTGACATCTTCGCTCCTCTTCTGCCTCGACCGAGCAGATGTTGACATACAAGAAAAATGTGAAAGTTAATACGAAAAACAAATAGTCAACAAACTTATTGCAGACCGCCATCATTCCCTCTGTAAAGTTTATATACACTAATAGCTACCGGCGATACAAGGCATTATATCCTAAATCTTAACTTCTTGCTTTCTCATCAACTTGTGCGTAATTAATGAATAACGCGTGCCATTGATTAGTTCTGTACTATCCACAACACAGAGAAATTATCGACAATTGTTGCACAGGTCGAAGTTTGTTTTTTGTTGATGTATATAAAACAGAAAGCACAAAGAAATTCGTCCCTCCTTCTTGTCAATGAGTGAATGGCTAACTTAATATTAAATGTCTTGTTTTCACATGCGACGTGCTAAAAATCCTCTTATGACACACTAACGGATTAGTTCGCTTTTCAATAATGTACCCGCAATGGTTTCTAAGTCCCGTTTTGACACACAGAATTCAGCTTTATCCTCTTAATCACTGCAGTGTTCCGCAAAAAAACACAAGATAATGAAATTTAAATCTTTTTTTCAGCAGAGGCACTGTTTCTAAACCTCTCTTGGTCAAGTCACTGGGAAATTTTCGTGATAACAAAAAACTTATTGCATGTACACATGTCAGATATGATCAAATTTTTCAGTTTACTTTGGATAAACGTGTTTTATTCATTGCCCTATGAGATGACGCACGTCCATCAAATTTCCGCCAGCCAATCGTTAGTCGGGTAGCAGAGATGTCATAATTATCGTGGCTCCGCCTTCCTCATTAAGATGAAATTTTACGCTTCAAGCTTTTAAGTAAATGGACCTGAAAATACAAAATATTAAATATCAATTGTGCAACTAGAACAAACCAATGGAACAGAACACCATATGTGTATATGAAATAAGAAAAAAAAAGAATTTAACCAGTATCTCAAGTCAATTTTACCGAATACAAAAATAGCCTTAATTGTTGAAAGTTCAAACCAAGCAAATATAGGCGATCATGTCACTTGAAATATTTACCAAAAGTCTCAGCAGGATTTCGGAACCCTATTTATCAAATATGTTTACATTAGACAAAATTTGTATGTTTGGAAAAGTTTTAAAGAGGAAAATTTGCTGTCATATTTCAAGCTCCATACATTGACCGAAACAAAGGAATTGTTTGGCTTTAAATTTGTTTAACCCCTCCGTCTTAGCCAGTATTGTATGAGTGTTTTGTACATCATATAGAACGACACATGCTATTCTGATCACTATTTCAATGATTTAATGAGATTTTTTTCACTTTAGGTTCAAGCAAGTACGGTTTAATTTTTTTTCTCTTCAAATTATTTAATGTCGGTCTGTCTCCACGTCCTGGACTACCCTAACGTATCCTCCTGTCTTGTTTTAAGACAAGGTAAACATAATAAATACGGACGTTAAATAGCCACTTATTTGTCAGGGATTTCATCCAAAACTTGCAAGGAACAGCCGCAATTAAGTTTGAATGACCGTACCATGACATGAAACGGACGAACTTAAAATAATGGAAATGTTTTTTTTAAGTTGTCTTGCTGAAATTTATACATTTCTTACAAGTAGTTTATCTACTCAAGATTCATGGACATCAGTTTGATATCTTGTAATGCGATGAAAAGAAAGCATTTTGCATTTATTTTCTTAAAATCGACATGCAATATTAGTTTCTTAAGCTATAACGTTCATCTAAATACTCTATAAACTGCACAGACTAGCCCCCCCCCCCCCCCTTCCGAAACCAATACTGCATATTTTGTACCGAGTCCTCTTTAAAAGTCTACCTACAGAAATCCCTCTAAAAATGAGAGTGCATCGGTATTGCCTCTGCTAGAACCAAGGTTAAGAGTTTTCTACATGGCGAGATAGAAGGTACTATAGAGACGGACATTTGCCTCCTTACCAAGGCGGTGGACAACAGCTCGATGGGGATCCAGCGGTAATTAGTCTAATTGGGGCTCACCCTTTGTCAAGACGCACTAACAAGTGCATTGTTGGAAACTGTACAAAACATCTCTGTAGTACTTCGGACACAAGGCCACAGAAATGTGGTTGCTGGAGCGGAGAAATTTTCTGAATTTGGAAAAGAATTCAACACTCTATCTGCGCGAGATGGCAGAATTCCCGCAAATGACTTTATTCGGAAATGCTGGGGTTGACCCACTATGTATGGTCATTACAATTCATTATTTTGAATTAATTTATGGTATATTTCATTACTCATCGTTTGTGTACAATAAATGTATAATAATCATAAATACGTCTTTAAGTACAGAAAAAAGAGAGTTCATCTTGAAAGCAAGCCAAGCCCAAAGCGCAATGTTTTAATGAATCTTAGACATCATCTTTGTATTACTAAATGTATTACTGTTGTGATGAATAGCTTGAATTTTTTTTTTAATACAAGATGACATTTATTACACGATGAAAAGTTGTTTGCACGCGTACGAACATGGCCGACCCCTTGACAAACATTTTATATATCCACAAAGCTCCTAATTACATAAATTCTGTTTAAAATATCTGACACTTGCGTAAATGTATGAATTACAAAAAATACGGGTAAAAAGGTACAAGAATTTTATCAAAGTTTGTAGGATAAGTTTTTCACAATTTTTGCGTAACTGTTATCGAAAATTAAGCCAATTTTTGTCACCCCATGTTGTAAATGTTCACGGTCTTAGCACGTATGAGCAGCCACCCCATGGAGCTCAACATTATTCATAATGCGTGTCAATGAGGGCAATCTAATTAACCTTTATACAATTAACAAGATCTGTAAATAACTAGATTACCAGTTCTTTAATTTATCTGCTTAATATTTGTATTTAAAAATATTTCCAAAAAACACTAGTTTGTATTTTTGTAATTGTGTAACGTTACCTTATAAATATGTTTGCCAACAGAGTCTAATGAGCCGATTAGGTGGATCTTTTCCATCAGATTAAGATAATTCTTTATTTGTCCTATAGTGATTATCATTGTGACACAAATGTTCCCGTTGTGGACTCTTCTTGTCTTTATTTAGTCCAAACTAGTCCATAAATATTACATAACGACCCCAAACCAATTGTGCTGATAACAAATTAAGACAACGTCAAATCTATAAGCTTAGGGATACTATATCATTAGAAAAATTATTGAATATGTTCAATAGATATAGAGGCAAAAAACTTTTAAAAAATGGGGGAGGGAATCAATTTGCCCTAACGTATACAAATGACATTCAACAGTAAACCAAATTAGAATTAATTCTCAGATTTTATGCATTTTGGACAAAGTTACTCAAAATTTGACCTCTTTAATTTAAATCTAAATACCAACTGTCTTCAACAATTTTCTCATAAATCATATTTTGTTATACAAAAAAATAATGATAAATTATGAAACATACATAAACTTGAAACATTTATAAATTATCTCATATCCAAACAGAATCCCTCCTGAATTATCCCTAGATCTAGATTTTCCATTTAAATTTCTTTGGCTTGATTTTTTTTCTTATTTTTTTTTTTAACTAGACCCCATTTACACACAAAAAAAAAATCTCGTACAAATAAAAATCAATGAAGCCATTTATCAAGCATAAACAAAGGGATGGGCAAACACATTAAAATGTTTCATAATGGGGCTTAAGACCGATCCGATAAAATATTAAGAAGGTCGGGAGGATTCCTGCTATCTCGACTTAGTGTATCTTTGGGTATACCAGTGCAGATAAGATAGAGCTGAGAAATGGGTTTGTTTAGATTTTACCCACAAACTTGAACATGTCCGATCTTTTAGAAATGACCAACTTTCTGGTTGGCCAATATTGAAAGTTTTTTTTTTAATTCTGGAACTCTTACATGATAAATGTTTAAAAATATGAAAAAAGTAAAGAAATAGCAAGAAGAAAATTAATGTGAAATCAGACACTTCAGGTTTTATTATTATCTAAAAATATAATCAAAATTGTCAAAGAAAGGGTTTAATTTGCTAATAAATGCACGGTTTTTTATGCATTAAATAAATACATGTAATACATATACCCCCAGAATGGTAATGTTCAATAATTAAAATAAATAAATAAATAAATAAACCCAAGAATACTTCCGCATTATTGTGTAGAATACCAACGATAATTTTTACAATTAAAACACTATATATTTTTTTTAACAAATATAATAATATACGACTTACTAAGGAAAACACCGACATATTTATCTTTAAAAAATTATTGCATCGTAATTTTACACTTGAATTGTTCACTTAAAATGCTTTTTTCTTTAGAGCGTACGGATTGATAAGTTTTCTTTTCATCTAGATAAAGATGTTTTTATGAAAAATAAGAATATTAATAAGATTAAGAAGATAAGTAACGGATCTTTACAAAAGTAACCCTGGTACAATAGAATGTTATCATGTACGCCATTGTAGAAAATGAGATTATATTATTAAGCAAAAATGTTTTCTTTGTAATTTACAGTTATAGAGATTGCCCAGTTTTCTTAGGGGAACGATAAGAAACCAAATTTGGCCTTGTTAAAGGTGTTTTTTTTAAAATCTATATTTAACAGCATGTCAAAATAAAACGCAAGAATGGGGAAAACATTATATTATGATGTTGTAAATTTTGAATTTACTAGGGGGAGGTAAATGCAAAATTTACAATTTTGCATTTACCTCCCCCTAGTAAATTCAAAATTTACAACATGATAATATATCAAATCATTGGGAACTATAAGCTAGTAAACAAAGACATATTTTGCCGATTGTGAAAAAAAAATTCTCGGATTCAGACACTCTTTCCCAGCATTCACCGTAAAAGTTTAGAAATTTGATTTTCTTGTCAATTTGATGACATCTGTAAAATTGATAACTACTTCAAGAAATCTCTGCCTAAGTCAGAATGACTCATGTCTCTTCATTACATTGAGAAACAAAAAAGCCCTGAGGAAATAGTGACCAAACTGAAGAACAGTATCGGCAGAAAATTTGGCGTGACACACCACCAAGTCATAATCAGTGACAGGGCCCTCGATTGTAATTAGAAGCTAACGCATCTAAATCTTTGGCCGCAAGAGAAACCAGTTTCTTAACAAATATATCCTAAAAACCAGCTTTTTTTTCAGTGCATGCATTGGACGGATTGGGGCTATTAAGAACATGACATGCATCAGCAAGCACATACTCCTCAGAGCCAAATGAGTGCAATATTTTAATTTTATCCGCCATTTCACGCGCAGCAAAAACTTAAAAAGCTATTTGTAACGTTATTAACTAATCAGCTAGTTCATTAACAAACAGACTTAAAGCCGTGTTTTTTTTTATTTTTATTCAAACAATGTGAAAACGCCTACAGGAAATAAAAGAAGGTAAATATATAAAGAAATTGGATTTTTAAAAAATAAATCATCATCATCGCAGCCCATTTCTCTGCTAAGTTTAGCGATGTACATAAAATTACTATTGTACATTGTACCGTTTTCCGTCTTGGGATGTAGATGATATCTATCTTAACGTGTCAGCCTCTCATTCTTAACATTCCATCCAAAGAAACTCAGGAAAAGTGGACCTGACAGGCTATTGCTTCTGATTATAAGCCTTAATAATCCCTCCTTTATACTCCCCCGCCTTGAAGAGGTGGATATTATAGCGTGTATATATTGGGGGGAAAAACATATACTACAAAAACAGAAAGTGTATACATACAAAGTCAAAAACAAATATCATTAAAAGATAGCATTAAAGAATCCGCTTCTTGCTTCTCCGTCAGAAACTAAGCATTTTATACCAATGACATTAAATTACACTAAGAAA